TTCCTGAAATCTCATCATGCCTGGCACCTGGGCTGTTGCCTTGGTGACAGAGATCTGTCTCGAGGGCAGAGGATGGGGTGAAAAGGGTAGAGATGGAGGAAGGGTTGTGAGTGTGTGTGTGTGGGGGGGGTGCACACTCACAACCCACTCCCAGGATCAGTCTTGGGGACTGTCATTCTAAACCCCGGGAAGCCCATCTTCCTCACAGCATCCCTTTTATGCTGTGTCTTTGACATAACGCCGAGCCCATGTAAGCTTCCAGTCAGCCCCTGGCCACCCCCTCGGTTGGTATAGGAATCCTCATTCACATTCTCTCCCTTACTCGTCACTTTTCCCAGGTGGGAGCCAAACATGCTATGAACTATTTGCGCACTTGAGTAAATGGAGGGGAGACCCTGAGGGGAGATGTGCAGGAGGCCTGGGGGGCTGGAAGACAGACGCTGCTCAGTGCTCGGTCCCCCCACTGACCCCCGGTCAGCTCCACCTCCACCAGATTGGAGGGGCCAAACTTACTCTGCCGGGCACATCTGAATAGTTTCTTACATGAAGAAGGATCCAGAGAGCTGGGCTAGAGACTAAGATCTAATACCCTGTTTCCGTAGATAAGCAGGTTGGCAACAAAATCCTGCTCTGGTTGCAAGAGTCTGTTGCCTTTCTTGGCTCCTCTGCTCTCACCCATCTCCAGCAGTAGCCCCACCCCCCACTCCCCATAAGCTGAGCCAGAAAGGGGAAGGGCTCATTTGTTAATCAGTTACGCTAAGTCGGGCACTGGATCAGGCTCTTCTAGAGCGACTGCTTTGCTTTATCCTTTCAGCAACCCTGGTTGATAAGGGTTTTCATCTCTATTTTATAGCCGGGGAACCTGTAACCAAGAGAAGTTGAATATTGTGCCCAAGGTCCTAAGAGAGTGGCAGGCAGGATTTGAAGCAGGGGCCAGCAGGCTCCAAGTCATGTGTATTTGTTGTGCTCTCTGTTTTACCAGTGGGGGTCTGAAGTACTTCAGGCGAAATCTCCTCTTGAGAGTTCCTCAGTCCACAAACGTAGTAGTAGGTTTGGGATATTTTTGAAAGGGTCTTGGGCAACCAGGCTTCTTCAGAGAAACAGAACCAGCAAGTGGAGAGTTCTTTTAAAGAACTGTGAGGACTGACAATCCATAAGACAGGCCAGCAGGCTGGAAACTCAGGCAGGATTTTGATGTAACAGTCCAGAGGCAGAATCTCTTCTTTTCCAGAAAGCTCAGAGTTGGCTCTGACATCCTTCCACTGATTAGATGTGGCCCACCCAAACTGTTGAGGGCAAGGGCCTTTATTTAGAGTTAACTGTAAACATTAATTATAGCCACAATATATCTTCATGGCAATATTTAAAAGAGTGTTTGATCAAACAGCTGGCCCCCTGGCCTAGCCAAGTCAACCCATAAAAGCAACCATCACAGGCTGAACCATCATACATATGGTGCTTAATGTGTGCTGGGCATTGCACCAAGAACTTCCATGAGCACATGTGCTTTTACTCACCAAAATGTTTAACAAGATCATGAACTCTGAGACTCAGGATGGCTCAAGTGACTGTCTGGGAAGAGCCGTAGAGTCAGAACTAGAAGCCAAATGTGTCTGGTTGCTACTGCTCCAGATTACTTTCCAGAATCTTCAGCATTAATAATCTAGATTTAGCATTCTAAAAGGATGCATGAAGGGACCCAAAGTCACTCAGCTTGTCCAGGCTGGCTGCAAAACTCACATCTCTTGGCTCCTAGTCTAGCCAGTCTCCTGGGAAGATTCTGCATATGAAGCACTCTGTCTCCTGCAGGACTCCCTTTCCAGATAAATGGTGGAGGCACATTGTGCATCCCTAGGTGGTCAGCAAAGCCCCAGCAGGGGAAGGTTAAACCAACAGGAAACTGTGCATGAGGGCCTGAGCTATATCGTTGCCAACTCAATGAGCAGATGTGCTCAGAGTCAGTATCCTGAAACCATTTTATTGCTGAAACGAGTTCATAATGAGATCCACTCAGGATATCAACATCCAAACCTCTTCGGACTGAATCTGAAATGGACCTATCTAGTGACAGATCCATCCTTGTGGCAGTCTGTGTTTTAGAGAGATTAAAGGGAATTTTCGAAGACACTCCAGGATCTGATGCTCTCTCTGCAGACAGAAATAAGACTTCCTCAGGCTGCATTTTTTAAGGCATGCTGCTTGCTTGGTCTACGTTCTGTGGGCCTTACAAGATACCAGTCGGGCTGGTTTGGTTGCAAGCAACAGAGATCTGCAGTAGGCAGCTTCATTGAAATGAAAAGAAGTAAAAGGAAAACTGATTAAAAAAAAAAAAAATCCAGTGGTATTTCTTATGGCACCAAAGTAGAATTTGGGAAACCGATACTTGAGACCATAATTAACCCGGGCAGCTCTGGGCCCCTCTGCAGCTGAAGTTCAGAAGCCTCTAGAGTGTTGCCTGACATCAGTGCATGTCAGCCCTTTGGTTTCCAGTCTCGGCATCTCTGTTCAGATTTCCAGGAGTGAGGAACTGATTTGCTCGGCTTGAGTTAAGTGTCTACCCCTGGACATGGCCCTGGCCGTGTTCCCAGAGCTGTTTCTACATGCAGGGACCATGAGAAAAAGAATCATCTTTGAGCAGGGCAGTCTGAGAAGTGGCTACTGTAACGTGATTATAATAGTGACAGAGAAAGACACATGGGCACCCACAGACCTCTGTTGTGGGTGTGTGTACATGCTTTGACCATCCCTTTGTGGTTCAGTGCCACTGGCCTCCCACACTTTCCCAATTATCTTAACATAATTAGCTGCAAATGCAATCTTGGGCTTTCAGCATCCTGAGATGTTTGCGACAAGAATGTAAATACCAGGCAGGAAGGACTTGGGCTATTTTGTTCATTCTGTGGCTCCAAGTGCCTAGCTTGGAACCTGGCATATAGTAGGTGTGCTCGGGGATTGTTGAATGAATAATAGCCACCCATCCATGCTGGGGTGCCTCTCCGCTCCCTCCTTCCTGGGGCTTTGCCATCTGGTGAGTCCAAGGATATCTTCTAGAGCCCTGTGGCCTGCCCCCGATACCCAGAACCAATAGATAAGGTATCCGATTTTCCTGGAGGAAAGGCGGCGAGCCCCCGTTCTGCCTATGTCTAATACAGGATTGAGTGAGAAGAGAATGCTTGGCCGCGGGTGAGGGAATCTTGGGTGTTTGGAAACTCGGAAGTCATTGTTCAGAGAGACAAAGCAGGAGAGGAATGCAGACCAAAGCAGGCTGACTCGGGCTACTTGTCCTCCAACTGGCTAAATACAGCTCACCCAGATTTTATCTTGGTGTCATCCTTTGAGTCTCCCCAGAAAGAGTGACATCAGGGTCATACGTCGTTTGGTGTATAGTTAACATAAGCCTAATTACAAACAATGAATTACAACTGCTATTCAGAGGATTCTAAAATGACCTTCTGGTCCATCCTAGCCATGCCCTATCCAGGGGGCACTGATGCCACCCCTTTCCCAAGGCAGGCATCTGAGACCTGTCCTTCCTCTGATCTCATCATTCATGGATACCAAACCCTGCTTCGTCCTTCTCACACTGTCGCTCTGTTCTTGCCCCACACTGGCCTCGGCCGACACAATTTTCCTTCGTGGTAGCATGACTCCCCTTCACGGACTCGTCCCTGCTTACATACAAGTTCAGAGTGAAGTGGCTTTAGTAATACGATAGCGGTAAGTCATATTGCTGTGGAAGGCTTTGTCTTCCAGTATTTTGCAAAATGCCTTCCAGTGCCCTGATTACCCTAAGGAAGACTGCTTTCTCTACATCGGAGATGATAAGCCAATAGCCCTCTCTGGCACGGAGACCCAAGAGTCAGTGGTCTGAGCAGGAAGCCAGAATGGAGTACCAAAGTCATGTCCAAAAGGGATCATTGGGGGAGCGCCTGGGTGGCTCAGTGGGTTAAAGCCTCTGCCTTCGGCTCAAAAGGGATCATTGGGAAATCAAGCCAGGAAATAAGGATCATGTTGTGGTCGAATAATGACCACGTGTTGCTGCAAGCCAACCATGTACCAAGTGTGCCAAATGGTATTTGTATTTATGCTACCTTGTTCGGCCCCCACGACAGCTCCAGGAGGGGGATATCATGGCCCCATTTTAGGAAGGAGAGACCTGAGGTCGTAAGAAGCTAAATGACTTGTCCACTACAGCAAGACTCATCAAGTGACGGAACCAGGATTCAAACCCCGTCCGTGTTCATTACAAGCCTCCTGCTCTGTGTCCCTCCCTGAGCCTTTCTCCCTTTCAAAATGATGCCTGCAGAGCTGGGCAATGGCAGACAAATCTAGAAGAGCAGGAGCCGGATCTCAGAGGAGTAGAGCAGAAGTCCAGGTTCAAAGGTGGGAGTGAAGAAGCACATGGAGAATGACCCCCCTCGCGTGGGGTGTGAGCTCTGTCTTGTTGGGCGCTGGCTGCATGGGGCAGGTCTGGCGACTTTAAAGGCTCAGGCTGGGGGATTCAGGGGTTGAGAAGTCCAAGAAATGGGACCTAGAAATATCCAGGTTGGTGATCCAGTTATCAACTTGCTGTCCGACGCTCCCGTGTGGCCAGTGGTGCAGAAGGAGTGGATAGCCAGACCAGCGGACCCTGCAGGCTGTGAGTCCCTGGAGACCTTCCTTCTGTGCTTGGCTCTGACAGCGACACTGCAAAAGTGAGGGGGAGGGTCTCCTAGCCCCTCCTATCTGGCCTGCCCTTGGTTCACTCTCCAGAGAGACTCCACGTTTTGGCTCAGAGGCAGGCTTTCTTCTCTGGACTCCTCAGTTACTACTCAGGAGTTACCACTCAGTTGGCCAAGCTGCTTGGCCTCCTTGAGCCTCGGTTTCCCCATCTTTAAGCTGAGAGTTGGACTGGGGCTTTCTGTCCTCCGCCCCCTGTGCCCCCTCCCTGCCCTCATGTGGGAAAGGTCTCTCTGCCTGGCCTCACGGGGACCCTGTCTCTGCCTGCCCTCTCCTTTCAGGAAGTCTGTCATCCAGCTCGACCTTGCCAACACCAAGAAGGCGATGATAGTCCCTGCATTCGAGACACTGCGCTACCGGCTGTCTTTTCCCAAGTCGAAAGCGGAGTTGCTGTCAATGCTGGACATGGGCACTCTTTTCACATTCAGGTCAGTAGCCTCAGTGCTGTCCCCCGGGGTCGTCCGAGGCCTTCCTGTCCCAGGAAATCAGACACCAGAGCTGCTGGCCCAGAGTTTGCTGCTACCTTAGACCACCTTAAGGCCAAAAAAAGGGCCACTGGTCCCCAGCTACATCTTTGGAATATTCTTTCTTCCCACATGCCATGTGGCTTTGTTTCATACATGAGTGGGGAGCGTCCTGTATCCAGATGGAAGGACCAGATGTCAGATGGGAAGTCACCTTACCCTTTCTGTACTTTACTCAGCATAGGTTCCCGATCCTGTCTCCTGTCTGAATTCTGTCTTTGGTTTGCTTATTCCTTCATTCACCTGGGAAGCAGCTTTGACCTATTAGCACCGTGGTTGCTGTTCCCTTTTTCCTTTCTGCGGGGGAGTGGTCTGTACTCCGCGGTCCTCAGGCCTGGGATGAGTGCCTGCAGCCTCATCAGCTAATGGCATTAAGGCGACTTCAGGGTGGGATGCGGCAGATGGGGCAGCTGACTTTCCCATTGCCTGAGTGGTGATTTTTTAAACAAGCCCCTCATTTGCCTGATGCTCCAATCAGTCCTGTGGGAGCATCACAGGGAAGCTACCCTGCCGTCTGTCCAAAATGCCCACGGAGTGTGTACGACGGTACAGGTGAGAATGGGTTCCAACTCCCGGGAACAGGCTGTGACATTTAGTGCCCTTGCGGGACGTAGGGGTCCTTCCTGGTCCCTTAACAGAGCAGTCTGAAGAGAGAGCCAGTGCTCCCCTCTGCTCCTGTTTGAAAGAGAAACCACCACTTTGAACAGGGAAAGAATGGCCACCACTGCCTTTGAGTAAAAAAAACATACATTTCCAGGCAATCTGAATTTTATTGAAAACGTTGTAATAATAACTTCGGTTTCCACCCTACTATTAAGTTACTAGAAGTTTCTAGAAGGTTTTCTCAAACAAACTTTATTTTGGGAAAGTAACCTTATGAGATAGGTTATTTGTTCAACAGTTCAGAGATGATCCTTTTTCACATTTTAAGCAGATAAACTGAGGAATGGAAGGGTCCTACTGGAGCCAGGACTCCAACCCCAGCCTTCCTCCTCTATCCAGAATTCTAGAAAGTGATCTGAGATGGTCTAATCACCTCTCCCAACCCAGACTTCTTTCTTCTTGGAAAGAAATAACAACTACCATTTGTTGACTATGTAACTTGTGCCAGGCATTGTCATCAGCTCGTATAATCCTCACAACAAATCTGAGGCAGATACCGTCATCCCCCTTTTACAGATAAAGAAACTGAGGCTCTGAGAAGCCAAATGACTTACTCAAGGTCACACCCACCAGTACACAGCAGAACCTGAGTTCAGTCCAGGTCTGAGGAGCTGCAGAGTCCACGCTTTTAACTCAGATCCCATTGGACTGAGTCCTGAATGTTCTTACCAATCTGAGTTGGATGCAGGTGAAAAATAAGACTCTGAGACCAGATCTTCATCTGAGCCTCCCACAGACGCCATAGCCTGATGGCTCCACACCAGACAGATTTCCAGGGCCTCTTTCCTTCCATCTCCTTCCCCAGGTGATTTGAGAACTCATTTCAAGGCCATGTCTGTGGGCAAGAGAGCTGGGACTTGGCCTGCCATTTCCAGGATTCCCGCTCTGGCCACAGCTCACAACTCACAAGGTCAAGTGCTAAATTACAGACCTTCCTTCCCTCCAAGAAATTGCCTTTGTCACCTTCCCTCCAAACGATGAGCTCTCATGTCTCCTCGCAGCTGAGACCCCCTCCCACTGCGGCTGGAATGGGAAATCATCCCCACCCCTGCTGGTCCTCTAGGTCCTCAGAGCGGGGTCCCTGGATGAGTAGCGTCAGCGTCCCCAGGGAACGTAGAGGTCTCAAGTCTCAAGCCCTGTTCCAGATGTCCTGGACCAGAAACTCTGGGGGTGGGACCCAGTGATGGGTTAAGCCGTAGTCTCTGAGGGGATCCTGATATTCAGCTCAAGTCTGAGAACCACCGCTCAAAGCAGGGTGCCCCCAGATCGCTCCAGAGTGGCACCCCACTTGCCGCATCCAGGAAATGGTTTTTGTCTCTGTTGTTTTGAGGCTACCTGGTGTCACTGGTGTCAGAACAAGTGAGTCCCCTGGACGGACGGTGGGTTCCGGGGGGCGGAGTCAGGTGGCCGTGTGCTCTCGTGGCAGGTGAACTGTAACGTCACCCTGCTCTGTGCTGACCAGCCGGGCAGCACATCTGTCCGTCTTCGGGCCGAGCTCATGGAAGCTGCACCCCACACACCCAGGGGACCAGGACCGACCGAGCTGCCCTTCCTCCTCTCTGCTTCCTTTGTCTCACACAAAGCCAAAGGTTTGCATTCTGGATAAGGTGGCTGTTGATACATTGACATCACGGAGAGTAAGACCCCTGCGAATTGACATCGTATCTAGGGCAAACGAGAGGGAGTAATGAGCATATCTTCCCTTTCAGAGGCATCACTGTATATCAGCTCCTGCTCTGGGTGCCTCATGTGAATTCACATCATGTCATAAATCCCTGACGTAGGCATGATTCTGTTTTACCAAGAGAAAGAAAGGAACAATTATTATTATTTATTAATAATTTTGCTTAGAGAAGGAAACAAAGGAACGGAGGAATTAGGTACATTTTCTACACCTGCTGAGAGACAGAATTCCAACCCAGACAGGTGGGCTCCAGAGCCATTGTTTTTAGCCGCCTTGTTAAAGTGCCTCTTAGGGAAGGAGCATTTATTGAGCGCCTCCTGTATGCCAGCACTGTGCCAAGCCCTTTATAAACATTTCCTCATTTCAGTTCCCCAGCCGTTCAACAAGATAGGTGTTCTTTTCCCCAGGGGACACAAGAGGGAAGTAAAGTCTAATTTAAATGCTCTGCTTCCGCTCCTAAGTGACAGGGGTGGGTTTTGAACCCTGGCGCGGTGGCCCTGCTGTGCCGAGCTTGAGCCAGTGCGTGTGCCCGGCCGCTGGTGGTGCTGGGCCGGCCCTGCAAGTGTCAGGTGTCGGGACTGCCTGTCGGGCTAGTTCACGAACAGAAAATCAGCTCCTTCCCGGCTTGATTCTTGGCTTAATCCCGACTTCCTGCAGTATCCCTCCTTTCCACACTCCGTGCAGGTGGCGTTACTCAGCCTCTTACGTTCCTTCCGATCGTGGGATTGTGGTTTTGTGGCACTTGCTGAATCCGTGGAGCTGGGGTTTCCAGTCCCTGCCCTCTGCCAGCCCGGCCATGTCGCCCAGTGACACTGTACTGAAGGGCCACAGATTGGCCAGTGGGCAGTTCGCGAGGGTCCCGGGAAGGTCCAGCCTCTGGGGTGAGGGTACAGAGTAAGCAAGTGGCCACATCGCCTACCAGAAGATTCCACCTGTCATATTGCCCACGGGCTCTCGCTTAACCCTCACGTGCTTTAGAACCTCTCTGAGTGGAGGTGGGACCCCAAACTGTGAGCTCCTTTCTCCCTGAAGCTCCCAAAGTTGTTGGGGTCCCACCTTTCATATTACCTTTTTCTACAATGTTCTATTTCCCCAACCCCTTGCTCTTGGACCAGGTCTGCTGTCCCATTTGGCTCCCAGGCTCCTCCCACCCCTTTGTAGCTTCCAGAGGCGGATTTCTGCCCCACTCCCTGCCCTCTGTCGTAGGTACCTGTCAGGTTTTGAGAATACTTGTTCATTAATCTATTCAACTTCGTTTCTGATCACTGACTCTCTGCTCTGGAGAGGCCAGAGAGTGTGGGTGCTGGGGACACAGAGGAGAGATCACCCAGCATAGAGATCCAGGGTCCTGGCCCTTGAGTGAGACTATCTGGGTTTGAATCCCAGCTCCAGCCTACTGTTTGTAAGTTGATACTGAGTAAGTTTTAAGAATTTTAAGCTGTAGGGGTGCCTGGGTGGCTCAGCGGGTTAAAGCCTCTGCCTTTAGCTCAGGTCATGATCCCAGGGTCCTGGGATCGAGCCCCACATCGGGCTCTCTCTGCTCAGCGGGGAGCCTGCTTCCTCCTCTCTCTCTGCCTGCCTCTCTGCCTACTTGTGATCTCTGTCTGTCAAATAAAAAAAAAGGGATTTTAAGCTATAGATACAATATTTACAATATAATCCTTATATAGCAAGTGCTTCATAAATGTTAGCTTACTATGAATGTTGTTATATGTGTGTATTCATTTTCTGTTGCTCTATTATGAACTGCCACAAATTTAGAAGCTTGACACAATACAAATTTATTATCTCACAGTCCGTAAGGGTCAGAGATCTGGACACGGGATGGTTGGATTTGCACTCAGGGCCTCACTGGGCTGAAATCAATTTGGGGGCAAAGTTCCAGTTCTCCTCCAGAGCGTGCCGTGCTCCTCTAGGCTCCTTGACTTCCTTCCCTTGCACATGGAGGACTGTGGTCACCATTTCCCTGATGGCTCCTTGCCACGTGGACCCACAGGCAGCTCACACGTGGCTCTTTGCTCTCTTCCAAACCCAGATCTAAAAGTTCTCAGGATTTGGCTAGGGCCAGCCCCTCCCCGCCCCCAATAATTCCCCTTTATTTAACCCAAGGTCAACTGATTAGTAACCTTAGTTACATCTACGAGGATCCCTTTTGCCAGGTGATGTGACCTTCCCATGGAAGTGGTGCAGCCACAGGTCTTGCCTCAAGGGGGAGAATTCGCTACAAGGGCTGGGTCACCGTGTTCTCCCGCACAGACTGACAGGCAGTTAGGTCCCTAGAGACCATACAGAGCCCTCCAGGAATTCACTTACCCTTTCATTGTGAGAGTTTCCTCATTATGAAGGATGTAGATAACGGATGGGATTAGTTTCCCAGGACTGCCAAAACAAGCTACTACAAACTGGGTAGCTCAGCACAATGGAGATGTATTCTCTCATAGGTGGGGAAGCCAGAAATCCAAAATCAAGGTGTTGGCAGGTTCATTCGTCCTCCAGAGGCTCAGGGAGAACCCTCCCTTGCCTCTCTCCAGCTTCTGGTGGAGGCTGACCGTCCTTGGCGTTCCTTGGCTTGTGGGTACATCACTTCAATCTCTGCCTCCGGCTTCCCATGGCATCACAGCCCGGTGTGTGTCTCAAAATCCACATTTCCTCCTCCTTTTTTTTTTTTTGTTTTTTTTTTTTTTTAAGATTTTGTTTATTTATTTGACAGAGATCACAAGTAGGCAGAGAGCGAGGGGGAAGCAGACCCCCTGCTGAGCAGAGAGCCCGATGCGGGGCTCCATCCCAGGACCCCGGGACTATGACCCGAGCCGAAGGCAGAGGCTTTAACCCACTGAGCCACCCAGGCGCCCCCATTTCATTCTTCTTATAAAGACAACAGTGGTTGGAGGAGAGCCCACCCTAATCCACTATGACCTCATCTTGATACATCTGCAAAGACCCTCTTTCCAAATAGGTCACATCCATAAGTCCTAGGGGTTAGGACTTGAACCTATCTTTTGGGGAGACACAGTACAACCCACAAAGACCATATCTGCATATACCTTTTCTTCCTCCCAACCCACAGAGTTGGGGAAGCTGAGTTTCCTTCCTTTCACGCAATGGCTTTTCTCCCTGTGACCTAGGTACCACGTCTGGACAAAAGGCCACGCTCCCACAAACTTCGCCAAGTGGCGGACTGCCACCACGCCTTACCGTGTTGAGTGGGAGGCAGATTTCGAGCCGTACGTTGTCGTGAGAAGGGACTGCCCTGAGTATGACCGGAGGTTTGTGGGCTTTGGCTGGAACAAGGTGGCTCATATCATGGAACTGGACGCACAGGTGAGCTGATGGAATGTCGTGGAGCTGGCGCTACGGGGGAAGAAAGTGTAGACTTCAGGGCCGAAGGGGGACCCCGGAAGTCAGAGAACAGAGCCCTGAGAGGGAACAAGATGTGGTCAGGGACCGGAAATGAGAACGTGGCAGTGCTAAGTCTCACGACCACGGATGCCCAAACCATGCCTCTTTCTCTACTGTTGAGTAAGAGTTGGATTCCCGGCCAGGACCCAGGCAGGTGTGGGGGTCCTGTGACAAAACGTTTCACTCCCTGTCCTCACCCAGTTCAATAATGAGGACAAAAAGAATCACCACTTGATCATTTGACCTTTGAGCCGTGTAACTGGCACAAAGTTCCTCCGAGTTCCATATAAGGGACGCAAGAAGGCATGTGGCTGAGACGTAGCTCATTATTCTACCCTATAACTAAAGTGATGATTTTCAGGCTGTATTTCATTGTGAAACACTTTCATTCATTCAACTAATACTCACTAAACACCTGCTTCAAACGGAATTAGCAGAATTCTAACAGGTTATACCGAGTGTCTGCAAGCTTTCTCTGCAAAGGACCAGATAGTAGGTTTAGGGGCTCCATGGGGCTGACAGGTCTCCTTTTTCAACTACTCAACTCTGCTGTTGTAGTTCACCTCCAGACAGTATCTACACATGGGTGTGGCCGTGTTCCAATAAAACTTTATTTCTGAAAACATGTGGCAAGCCGGTGATGCTGCTCATCACCCCCAGTGTTAAATAAACAAAAGTAAAACAAGATACTCTGGTTGCATTAGGAGAAGGATGCCTGGGGCTCTCAACCCCACCTTTGTTCTGTTTGTGTGCTCTTCTCTAAAGCTTCTCCTCATGGAGCACAGTGTAAATATTTCTCAACAGAAGCACCTCAAATTCCAAAAAAAAAAAGTCAGATGCTCAGTGCTGGCTGCCCTAGGAATCACCTGGATTACTTTCCAACAGTTCCAGTATGTGTGAGAGCAGTCCCAAGTGATATTTTTTAAAGATTTTATGTATTTATTTTTGAGAGAGAGAGCACAAGTGGGGGTGAAGGGAGGAGGAGAAGTAGACTCCCCACTGAGCAAGGAGCCCTATGCAGGACTCGAATCCAGGACCCTGGAATCATGACCTGACCCAAAGGAAGACACTTAACCGCCTGAGCCACCCAAGCACGCAGTCCCAAGTGATTTTAATAAGCATCTAGGGTTGCAAACCACCAGTGTAGACAAAAGATTGTAGAATAGTGTCCATTTTTAAGAACAGAAGCATGCCCTTTAATGTCCATTTTTTCAATAATACTTGGAGGGAGTACAGTGCTGCTCACAGACAGAAACGTTCAGTCTACCCCAGCTTCTGTTTGAAGGAGAAGAAATGTCATGTTCTTGTGTCCAGCAGTGTGGTGAGGTGAACTGGTTCAAATAAAGTGAATTTTTCCAGCCCCGAGATGCGGGCTTGATTTATTTTATGCAATTTTGACAGAACTCCTGCAAATTTCTTGATTATTTTTCTTTCTTTGCTGGTGGCACAGCCAAACATAACTTTACCCTTTCCAGTGATTGCCAGAAATAATGAGTACATACCTGACAGGTCATCCAGCCGCACCTGTAGGGCTAGTGGGCTTGGTCAGGTTCTTTGTCCCCAGAGGCAAGTCCCAAACAGCTCAGCTCTGGGGGCTCTTGCATTTTCTTTTCAGGGTTGTTCGTGTCCCTCCTCACCATCAACGGTCCTTTCTTGCTGCGTCAGTGCCCCTCCATCTGGACCAGCTACCTTTCCCCAGTCTGATTTTCCCTTTCAGAGTTTCTTCTGATCTGCTTTGGGCTGGGGAACAAGATGACCGAAGCTTATCAGACCTTAGGTCCAAAATCAGAGAACATGGGGTCTGAATGAAGGTGTGCGGGGTTCTCCTTGGAGTTCTGGTTCCTAAATTTGTGTCACCTATTTTGGCTATTTGAGGCATTTTATTTTTCGTCTGAGTTTCGGTCTGTATTCTGCCAAGTGGAGGCTATTCTGTGATGCTGTGACTTACAATAAGGATGAGTAGGCAAGAGCTTTGTTCTTTTTTTTTTTTCCTTAAATTAGTTTTTATTTTGCTCAAGTATATCCATTAGTAATTCTTTTTTTTTTTTTAAGATTTTATTTATTTATTTGTCAGAGAGATTGAGCACAGGCAGGGGGAGCAGCAGGCAGAGGAGAAGCAGGCTCCCTGCCGAGCAAGGAGCCCCATGTGGGACTCGATCCCAGGACCCTGGGATCATGACCTGAGCTGAAGGCAGACTCTCAACCAACTGAGCCACCCAGGCATCCCTAGTAATTCTTTTTTTTTTTTTTAATTTCTTTTAAAAATATTTTTAAATTTAAATTCAATGAACATATAATGTATTACTGGTTTCAGAGGTAAAGGTTAGGGATTCATCATTTTTATATAACACCCGGTTCTCATTACATCACATGCCCTCCTTGATGTCCATTCCCCAGTTTCCCCATCTCCCCACCCATCTCCCCTCCCTTCCAGCAAACCTCAGTTTGTTTCCTATGATTAAGAGTCTCTTACGGTTTGTTCTTAATGAGCTTCCATCCAGTGGGATTTTTTTTTTCCTTGATTCTTTTTTTGTCCCTTCTTGTGTACTAATCTGTTGAGGCTGTCAAATCTCATCAAGCCCTATGAGAAATCCCAGAAACAGACATCATTTCATTGAGCAAGAGCTTCTCTCATGGCTCGGGTCACTCTAGAGCAGCCACATGGGCACCTGCTCTCATTTACCAAGACCCTTTCACAGGCCATGAGCTCTGCCCAGCACTATCCATCCATGACTGGTCATCTTTCAAGGTAGGTATTATGATGTTTATAGGTGAGAAAACTAAGGCATTGAGAAGCCCGGTAACTTGTCTAGAGCCATGCAAAGAGCCCTGCACCGTCCCTCTCCAGCATGGCTCTGTCTCCATGACCTCCTCCCTGCTGATGTCGTTCCCCTCCTCATTCATCCACTCGGTCATTTGGTCATGCAACTGGACATCTATCATACCTTCCCGGGGGTCCTTGCAAGTGCTCACGCTGCTCTCGTCTTCTAGGAATATGAGTTCATCGTGCTGCCCAATGCCTACATGATCCACATGCCTCACGCCCCCAGCTTCGACATCACCAAGTTCCGGTCCAACAAGCAATACCGCATCTGTCTCAAAACCCTGAAGGAGGAGTTCCAGCAGGACATGTCTCGCCGCTATGGCTTTGCCGCCCTCAAATATCTCACGGCTGAGAACAACAGTTAGCACCAGGAAGCCCACCACTAGGGAGAGAGACCTATTCTGCAGGGGGAACACCACTCGCTGTTTGGGGCCCAGCCTTCAAACTCAAAATTGAGCAATGCTTTTTTGGTTTGTTTTTATTTGTCTCTTTGGCCCAACAAAGCTGCCCATACTACAGAGATCTGGGACAAGGATCCAGCCAGCGCCTCTCTGCTCCACAATCTGGCATTCCCAGAACGTGGAAGAACAGCTTGTTGACACAGTCTCTTCAAGAATGGGACACAGAGGAGTTAGAGGAGCAAAGGGGTTATCCAACCACAAAGCCACAAAACCAAGCAGGTCTTTAGGACGTTTTCATTGCTTTTTAAGAAAGGAAAGTCAGGGTGCTGGGGGTTAGCCATCCTGGGAAATAAAAGCAAAACTGTCTCTTCGTTCAGAGGAAACTTTCTTTTTTTGTCCTGCAATCTAGCCACATATCCAAGGTGGGAGGCAAACCAATGATCTGAACCAACCATTTGGAAAAACCCAATGGGGACGTTATACTGGGTGGGACCTGGAGGTGGGGCGGAGGGGGGGGGCGTCGTTTTGTTCTTTATCCTCAAGGACACTCTTGTTTTGCTTTGATTTGTTTTTGTTTGGTGGGGGTTGTTTGTTTTTGGTCTGGGAATCCAAAATAGAAAACCTGATCTTTTAAGGCTCCGAAGGAGAATCGGTTGCCTCATCCAGCATACCCCTGTCAGCAGTGGCCCCGCAAGGAGTACGAGAGTCTTCAGCCACTATCTAAAATGGGCAGCCTTCTTCAGGTTTATCACTGAGGCCCCCATGACCTTGAATCCCCTGCTCTCCAGAATCCAGGGGCTCAGACGGAGACTGTGGAAATACGAAGACCGTCACATTTGCTATTGGCCGTGACTGGTTCATGGGGAAAGGGCTCAGAAGGGACTGTTCCAGCGTACATGGCAGGTACAGACCTCTCAGGCCTTCAGAATTCCAGTAGTTCTCACAAGCCCAGTTCTGAAGATCCCACGTGTCCATCTGGAGACCATCAGGAAGACTGTGCTGGGTTCCTCTGTGTTCGTGTTAATTCCCTGCGGCTGGGACGAGGTCACGGCCTCGGGCTCCCTCTGGGACCTGTCCAGAGAGTAGGCAAGCACCTTTACCATTACACGGATTAAGGAGACACTGGACTTTTTACCCATTTTCTTGAATCTTCAATATTAATGTTGTGTTTACATTGATGAGAACAAGAGTCCACGCCCTACTCTTGGCTGGGCTGTTTGTATGGAGTTGCAATGTGACCAGCGAACGCTGCATTCAATAAACGGAAGTCCGGACTGTTTCTTCCCCGCGCCCTCCCACTCTTGTAAGAAGCTGCTGACACACATGCCAGTGTAGACAGCAGGACCCATCAACGGCAACCTCACACTTGCACTTCTTCCGTTTATTTTTCTCATCCCTTGAACCTTAACGTTGTTTTCTCCGCTTCTGAGGTTAGATCTCGCTTTACACTCTCACCCTGAAAACACGTTCAGAGTCTCTGTCCAGCTTCTGTCTCAGCCCCAAAGCCAGATGTCTTATATCCCAGATGCTAGCAAGGTAAATCCTGGTAATCGGTAGCAAAGCGAGCGCCCAACCCGTTGTCCTGATGGTCACGTGACACCCCACCGTGCCTTGACTTCCGAGACCCTCCCATGTGTTACATGCTCAAGTGGAGAATTCACTTAGATTTATTTAAAAAAAAAAAAACTTAGGAAGACAATTACTTGGACTAATCTTCACACAGATGCAGATAAGTTTCTGTGTGTGTGTATATGTATGCATGTATGCATATATACATGTTCTACATATATTACATATATATATAGCACATATGTGGCATGTACATCACAAAATTAATACACAAATACTGTATAAAGTAAAACATCAAGAAGTATTCACAATATGTGTTAAAGTCCCCTTTCTCCATGGGTGTGTGAGAGCCTGCTCCCGCCAGCTCGCAGGAACCTACCATGTGCATCTCCTTCCTACTGTTGTGTTCTGTGCCTCACATTGTATGTTGAAATTGGCCATGATGGTAGTATTTATGCCATGGCCATCAGAAAACCACAAATCAGGGCACCCTCACCACCCCAAGAGCTGGTTGTTAAACATTTCCCAGTACACCAATGCCTTTTTCTCTTCCCTATGTACATACACACAGACACACACACTCTCACTCACTCCAAAATCATCTTTTCCAGAGAAAACCATTGTTAGATGTAACTTGTAATGAGTCCCTACCAACTGCTTGAGCCGAGTGGAAATGTACTAGGAGTATTGGTTCCTTGATGTTTAAAAATCAATTTTTAATTCCCTAAAGCCTTTTATTTTTCACATGTTTTATAGCCCCTGAATCCCACCCATCCACCTTGCTTTCAGTTGCCTATTTGTAGAGTTGTGACCATATAACTTACCATACAGATTGGGTCTCCTCTGAGAATATGAGCAGGCACCAAGTGCTTTGAGACAACAGGTATACATTGGAGGACGATGTAGCTTCGTGTACCCTGAATTTATTTTTTAATTATTTTTACTTTTTTACATTGTGTTTATTTATTTTCTAGAGAGAGTGAGAGCGTGTGTGTGAAAGTACAAGCAGGGAAAGTGGCAGGCAGTGGGAGAAGCAGGCTCCCTGCTGAGCAAGGAGCCAGATGTGGGACTCAATCTCAGGACCCTGGGACCATGACCTGAGCCTAAGGCAGATGCTTAACTGACTGAGCCACCCAAGCATCCCTACCCTGAATTGACTAAAGCCAGAAGCTGACTCTCCACACCAATAGGAGAAAGTCCTGTCTCCCCAAAGACAGGTGCCTGACAATGAAGCCGGTGTCACTGAAGGCTAGAGCTCAGATGCTGGCTAATGCCCAAGTTCAGCATAGAGGCTGCCAATCCACTGGAGGCTGAGGTCTGCACAGCCCACGGAATGAGTTCTCAGAACTTACACTGGGAGCAGCAGGTCACTGCCAGCCCCAGTTCATGGGCAGGAGCTGCTGCAGCCCTCTGGGCAGAGGCGGTTACTATGCCTGGTAATTCCTTAGTCTCAGTGCTCCAGGGCAAACCAAGCTTATAAATGGATCATGCTGGTGTTTTCATGCTTCCATAAGCCAATACGATCTTGGCTTTCAGCTGGAAGGACAGAAAACTTTCTCTCACGTAGCCCCCATAATACTCAGTGTCTGGGAGAGCGAAGATTCACTGAGTAACCACTATGTAAAAGGGCCTGTTGCATGCATTAGCTCATTGAATCCTTGCAGCAAAACTGCAAAGTTTTTTGTTTTGTTTTGTTTGCTATACTGCTTATAGATGAGGAAACCCAGGGAGCTCTGGGAAATTAACTCCCTGAAATTCACATCATCACTATATGGCAGACCCGGAATTCAAACCCATGCCTACTTGGACGGATGCCAAACCACGTAGCCTGCAATGCTGCTACCTCCCCTGATAAGAGGGAAACATACGAAATACTGGCGGAGGAGAGGATTTGAACCTATATAGGAAGAGTATTAGATTTCTAGTCTTCCTCCTTCCACATTCATCCAGTAACACAGCCCAGACAGCAACCTCTCCTAGATGCTCCAAATCTTGCTATGCCCATGACTTTTTGAAAATTCATTTGAAATAGACCTGGCAGTCGATAATCCTACTTGGATGGCAGAGATCAACTCTAGGGAGCAGTCATCGACTCCCTGAAGGCTTCTCCCAGCCTACATGGCACAGGTAGAGAACACTATGTTATAAGGTCCCCCTCGGACCTGAACTCAGCTGCTTGCTGCTTCAGAGTGGTCTCTCTGAACATGTCGAGCTGATTTACAGAGCACAAATTTGCTGAGTTGACTAATAGCTTCTTTGTACCCCATCATGAAAGGACAGATCCTACTTTAATTCTGTCCCTTTCAAAGACTCTACTGTCTTTGAGTTAAGGCTTCATTTGTGGTCACCAGGCCTTTAGGGAGCTCTGTATTTAGTGGAAGAAACGTGATCAAAATCCCCTCAGACACGGCTCCTGCACCCTCTTAGGGAAGACAATAAGAGCTACCCATTCACTGAACCAAGATGTCTATGGTAGTTGGCAATGATGAGCCTTCACCAGAGCATAATAATATAAGGAAGGTGTTACTATCCCTGTTCTTTAGCTAATGGAACCGGCACACAGAAATTATGTGAGTTGCCAAGTCACACAGGTTGTTCATGGAAGTGCTGAAATTTAAGCCAAAATCTGGCTCACTTCAAAAACCCATGTCTTTCCACTCTGTGCTGGTGTCTCCCCATACGACACTGAAGTCAGCTAGGCTGCAGGCTTATGTGGACACATGGTCATGTAGTTCGTGGGAATACACTTATTTTTTTCCCCTTGCTTTTTTAATCCTGTTTATTTTCCATTTTAATGCCACTAAACATAATGAAACGTGAGTTATCTGCTACATGTATTCTAAGAAATTTCAGACCCATAGAATCTAACATCAGAGATACCATGGTTTCTGTCTTCATTTATTTAACAAAAATGTTCTTAGCCAATGTCAAGGAATGCTTGATGATACCCGAAAGATAATGGGGGCATCACAAACATGACTATTTGACAGAGTTGGTCCTCGGTTTGTTCCAACACCTTCAGATCATCTTCAGAGACAGTATTTTCTGGAATGAAAGAAGGGGGGTCAGTTTGGGGAAAGTGTTTCCAAGATTTGAAACCAATGAGGCTGGGACGATGTCAAGGAATGATTGACAGGGCTTGCCTAGAGCAAAACTTCAGATTCCTCTGTAGGTCATGCTGCTGAGATTCTAAAGGAAGAAAGAAAGGGCTGCAGTGGGGGCAGAATAATGTCATCGTACTCCCTGTTATTTCTTTCTGCGTTCCACTAACACATATTGAGCATCTGCTCTGTAATGGGCACTGTGCAAACAGCAGTGAACCAGGCACAGGCAGCTTTCATGTCCAGTTCCCTGGAGGGCTGAGAAGTACACATAATGCTATGAGAGGTTTCATTTTATTACATTCATGTAGACACTTTCAGTTTTTTTTTTTTTTTAAGATTTTTTTATTTGAGAGACAGCATGAGTGGGAGGGGCAGAGGGAACTCAAGCAGACTCCACGCTGAGTGGGGATCCTGACGCAGAGCTTGATCTCACGACCCTGAGATCACAACCTGAGCTGAAACCATTGGACGCTCAACCAACTGCACCACCCAGGCACCCCTGGTTTATTTTTATTTTTAAACAATGAAGTTCTATACACTCTCCATTTAGATTCACTGATAGTTAACACTCGGCCATTTATGCTTTATATCTCTCAGTCTATAATATTTTTTTCTGGAACCTTTAAGAGTGGATTGTAGATACCATGTCCCTTTAAGTCTGAATACAAAAGCATGTATTTTTTGTTTTAAAAGGACATTCTCGCATAACCACGATGCAGTGGTGAAAATTCAAGAAATTTTTGCTACAATACGATCATCTAATACACAGCCTACCTTCAAAGTTTGCCAACTACTCTACTAATTTCTAAATAACAGGAACCACCCCTGGTTGGGCCATCCCACCCCTGATGCCAGGGTCCAGTCCGGTCTGAGACACATTGCAGAGTTGCCTACAGTCTCTAATGAGGAACACTGCCTTGGTCCTTTACACTTTATGACAATGACATTTTTGAAAAGCAGTGATAGTCATGTTGCTAGTTTGTTGTTTTGAGTGAGAAATAGGTATACGCACATGAGGCAATTCATAAAATAAGCACGTATGTATTGTGACTTTCTAAATTCATTATTATAAAGCATATCATGTAACATAAAATCCTAGGACAGAGTTCAAGAAACCAGTCCTCAGAAGCATCACCATCAGTGTGGATGCACGTGCATTGGTGGGATGATCCAACAGGTGGGACCCTACAGCAGGCAGCACCTACTACCATGGGGACACAGCGCTAACCCCACTTAGTTGTCTTAACACCAGACAATGAAAGTGATGATCTTCTACTTATTTGAAAGTCTAGTAGCAACTTTTTTTTTTTAAAGACTTTATTTATTTATTTGACAGACAGAAATCACAAGTAGGCAGAGAGGCAGGCACAGAGAGAGGGGGAGGCAGGCTCTCTGCCGAGCAGAGAGCCCGATGCGGGGCTCCATCCCAGGACCCTGGGATCATGACCTGAGCTGAAGGCAGAGGCTTTAACCCACTGAGCCACCCAGGCGCCCCTCTAGTAGCAACTTTTAAGATACATGCATTAGCTGAGCTGCTTTGTGTTAGGATGAATGTGTATTATGTGTGGATATAAACATGGGCATTTTTAGTTCAGTTTCTCAGAGC